AAACACTTCAGAAAATGTGACCAGAAACCTTTTCTCTGTGTGAAGTATTAAAAGGAGATTACAATGTCTCATCACTTCACCTTATTTCAGATGTTACAATCAATTTGTTGACTATTGCTTTCTTCGCTGTGGCTTTCAGCACATGGTTTACTCCTGCCATTGGTTGAACCGGATGAATATGAAAAGTGAAATAGGGGATTAGTAATATTAGAGACATTCTCTTTACCCAAATCCTTTTAGTGAAGGTCTTTCTGCTATTGTATAAATATATAAAGCCAAAATCAGAAGTTTGTCCATCACAAATGTAGAGAAATTGTCACTGTCACTTCCCTCACAAGCATAAGAAAAACACACAGTAAAACAAATCATGATAAATCTAGTGATTATGGCTGAACAAGAAGCAGTGATGTGCTAAGAACATGCAAATGTTTTTGTGTATTTTCATTGGCCAGTGGGAACTGGGCCTAAGTGGAGTTAGAATTGGTTATGAAAATAGATGATTTTTAAAATTTATTTATGTTGATATGAATTCAACATGTGGATTAAGTGTAAATTTTCCTCTTCGGTATCACGAAGAGACTGTTTTGCTACACCAGACAGAGCAGAGTGAGAACATCCCATCTTTACAGTTAATGTCAGCACATTTGGTTTACAGGACATTTAACATCACTGGAAGCAGTGCTCCGTTTTCACTTCAGCTTGTAGAGCACAAATTTCACGTATGAGCAGGCCCAAATGGAATCTGCTGAATTGTTTTTTTTCGCAGTTATTCAGGATGTAAATCTGTGGAGTACTGCAGAGTGGATTTTTATTTATTGTTTTGCTTGGTGTATAAGAAAACATTAATTGAGCTAACAGTTATTTTTTTGAGCAAAAGCACCAAAACTTATTAAAGCTACTAAAATAATCTTGAGCAGGGTGAAAGAAATCGCTTTATATGAACTTTTTAAATACAATTACAGATTGTTGTGTAAGGAATGAAAAAGAAACACTAGACATAGATGTGCAACTAGCCGGTCAAGTTGTGAAGCACATAAATGT